CTGCTCCCTCGTCGGCGGCAACCCTAGCCACCTAGCCACCGACACAATGGGTTTCTTCTCTGGCAACGGCAAAGCCAAGGGCAAGGCCCCCGCCTTTGTCGGGGTCTTCCCGTCAGCCGAGACACCACGTGAACGTGCTAGTGCACTAGGCGAAATGGCACTGGTAGCACGGCGTCCCTCTCCCCTACCCCAATGTCACCTGCTGCACGACAGGCACTTGGATCCGAAGAGGATCCCAGTGTCAGCGGCGCCGCGATTGCCAAGGGCGCACGCAGAGGAGGTGCGGCGCCTGCAGGCGTTGCTGACGGTGGAGCAGCGCCGCGACTTCGCCTACAACGCCGACTCGCCCTACTGGGTGCGTTGGTTTACCTTCGAGCACGAAGAGGCCAGGCGACGCAACATCCGCGAAGTCTCCTGTAGCTCCCCGCCGCCGCCCATCGTCATTCGCGGCGAGGACTAAGAGGCGGAAGCCGCCTACCAGGCGGCCATGGCGGCTGTCCTCTGGGAGAGCGAGGAGGACGGGCGGCGCAGGGAGGAGGTGTACCAGGCACGCATGGCGGATGCCATGGCGCTGTCCGCGGCCGGCGACTGTATCGTGCCGCCGCTGGCCCCGCCGTCCCCAGTCAAGGCTGAGCCGGAGCCGACCCCTATTGAGCACTACCAGTGGCGGAGCCAGGATTGGAGTAAGCCCTGGGCTTATTTTTTTTTTCACCATGAGGGAAACACTTAACGCCCATAAGCCTATTATCTACCTCAAAAGATACTCCATACAAAATATGGCTCAATTGTAGTTTTTCATATTTTTTTCATCATGCTTATCGATACAACAAAATAGATAAAAATGAAAAACTACAAGTAAAGTACTGTACTAACTTTAGTATAAAGTCAGTATAAAGGTGAGTCACTTATTTTGAGACGAAGAGAATATGTGGTAAGAAAGAGTACCAGATCAATGGCTTTCTTCATCAGTCCCTCGCATAATCTTATCAACGGCGGAAGAAGAGCCAACACCTACAAGACATCAAACGCAACATTTCATAAGAAAATGCATAAACATCGAGTGATATCACTGATACAAATCTAAAAAATTACCACTTCAACGAGGTAAAAGAACTTTGTGAGACCTATATGATTAAAAGCCGTATAGAATATCATCATCATTACTTGCAAATACATCTCGCTCAAAATACAGCAAGTCATCACTCATCCTATTCCTTTCATCTGAAATGATAGGTGTAGACACCCTGTTGTAGACACCGCTGATAAAAATTTCATCCTTTCTACAAATAAAGTGAAATTAGCAATTACATCAATTTGAGTTCAACAATACCTTAGATATATAACTGGATACATACACACACATACCATTTCAATTAAATTTCAGTTTGAAACAGTTTATACACGGATAGAAGGCATCGAAGAGGGAAACACCGAATGCATCAAAGAAAATATAAGGTGCGGCAGCCAACAGTGAACCAGCCAGTGGATGGTGCGCCACGCGGGCGAACGATGCACAGGACAGGAGGGCGACCACGGCGGACGGCGGCGTCAGCGCTGGAGTATGGAGATCGATCGAGCCGTCCTGCGTGCGTGCGAGTCCGCGGCGGCGGCGCGGGCGTTGTATTCTCCTTTTATTCAGCAACAACGCTGCGTGACGTCTCCTGTGCGTGCGTGCGAGTTAGATTAGATCGTGGGGTGGGTTGCCTCGTGCGAGCGTCGTTTCTTGCAAGACATACAACCTATAAGGTTTTGGGCCTTCTTTCTTTCGCTGGGCTGCACCCTCACCTGTAGACAAACATATATAATTATAGCCTGCTAAATTTTCCACGTCCCGGGCCTAGGCCCTGGGTGCCCGAGGCCCAGCTCCGCCCCTGAGCGCTACTCCTGAATGGAGTAGTGCGCAAGTGGGTGAGCACCCCGTCGATACGAGGTGTAGGAGGTGGCATACCTCGAGCAATGGTGCCATCGGGGGCTGGCCGAGGAGCGCCACAAGGATGAGTACCTAGAGCAGCTGAAGCGCGACGCCGAGGAGGAGCAGCGCGAGGTGGAGGTGGAGGTGGAGGCGCGCCAGGCCCAGGGCGCGGCGGCACAACCTGCGGCAGCACATCCCGGGGCCGACATCGCCGTCGTCTGGAACACGGCGTTCCCCTGGGCCAGCCCTACGCCGACGTTGATCGACATCACCGGCCCCGACGTCAACGAGGAGGACGCCTAGGGCAGCACGCCACCCTCGTAGTTTAGCTTTCTTTAAGTTTAATTAATGTAATGTGGACGCGTGGACTCTCGCCGGTCTTCGTGGCCGGCTTTAATGTTTAATTATTGTTTGTTTTTATTTTTAAAATATTTTTGGTATTTTTTCCCATGCGCCGTCAAAATGGACCAGGTTAGCGTTAGGCTCATGCGCCGATCCAAATGGACAAACGGTCGTGGGCGTTCGCCGGCCTGACCCAAACGAATAAAAAACAAAGAAAATTATAGTTCGTTTGAGTCGGCGCGTTGAAGTTGCTCTAACCTCCTGATAGTGTCTCCTGATGCAATGTACTGTATACAAAGCAAACAAAGTACAATAATACTACACACGGGCAATCTTCAACGGACTCGCATCCAATTCCTGATTAGCCCGTAAATCTTTACTCCTAATGTCTTAATTGGTAGGTCGCGTTTCGGATTTAATTTTCGTCCTACCTCTTCTGGTTTATTTTCATCCTCCCTCCCACCTCCAATTCCCCCGCTCCCACCTCCTATTTTCGTTGGGTTTTTTTCGTCGGTTTTTTTTCGCCGGTTTTTATTCGTCCCCCTTCCACTGGTTGTACAGTGCAGAGAAAACCATCCCCGCACGCCTCTCCACGATCCCTACCCGATTCACGCATCTCACCCTCCCTCCTGCATGAGCATCCGCCGCCGCCGGTGCGTTGGCTGCCTCCCTCCCCCATCGCCGGCCACCTCTCGCCCCTCATAGCCGGTCGCCTCCCTCCACTGGATGCCGACCACCTACTTCACCGCGCCGACCGCCTACATCCCAGCCGCCGGCCATGATCAGATCCGCACCGGCGTTCCCGCATTGGTGCCACCACGACCACACAGCGGCAGAGGAGTCCTCCTCCTCCCACCACCGCCGCCACCACCGCGCCCTCCTCCTTTCACCTCCGAGAGCAAGAGCGGCAACTTCCGCAAGGGTATGCCATGAATCCCTTCTCTTCTTCCGGCCTTCTTCATCTCCACATCTGATTCGTGTGTGTGGTCTATATATGCAGTCAGTTTTCTCCCTCCGATCTGCTCTGCATGCATGAAGGGGCCTGGCCAAAGAGAAGCTGTTGCGGTTGCAGGTTCTTCCTCATCCCCGCTGTAGGTGGTAAGCCATATCCCTCTCCCTCCTTCTCTCTCACCCCCATCTTGTCTCTATAGGCAAGCAGTCTGCATGTTAGTAGGCACATGAATCAATCAAAATACCTTTTTGATTGATATATACGTGTACTGAGAGGAGAGCCATGTTA